TCTGTTTATAATAAACAGTATTAAATAACATTTACCGGCCTGAATGTCTGAGAAATTTTCGTAGAAAATATTCGTCCTTTGACAGGATTCGAACCTGCATCCTATACGGAACCATCATTTACGCTGACGTGCCTTAACTGACTCGGCCAGAAGGGAGTGTTCTGTAGGCAAGGTTGAATTTACTGCTTATAAACTTCAATCTTCCATGAATGTTCCATAAAAATGTCTTTAATAAATAAATTGTCGGACTTCGTCCATTTCTTAATATATGGAAGAGGTTATAGTTTTCCACTGAGAGAAAAGTGTGTATTTTAAAAAGAAGATAAACCACAAACGTTTTTGGTTGAAATGTGGATTTTTTATTTTAAAATATATATATATTATACTCTATTTTTCATAATTCTGCTACACAAGATTCTGGTTTTGCGACCTTCTTCAAGCAAAGAGTAGATATTTTCACATATAAAAATGAATTTTTGTGTGGTAGTGATACAAATGTCTTTATATATATATATATATATATATATATATATATATATATGTGTGTGTGTATTGCATATAGTTCTCTCATTAATATTACGTTTTTCCACGTGGTACGATGTCATAGAACTGCATTATGAATTTACCATTTGTGTCTGATATTCCGTGACCATATCCATCACATGTCATCATAACAGAATCGACTACTATATTTGGTTGTTAAGTGTGTATGCTGCATGCTTTCGTGTCTGTGGTCATGATCTATGTCAGAAGTAATGTAAGAGTAATTAAAAGCAAACACCAATCTAAAAACCTAAAACACATATTAACATCATCCAAATTTAACCAACACACAAGACAGGGAGTCACAAAATGCAACAAAAAAAAGATGTGGGGTTTGTGATATTATAGAAGGAAACTCATACACTTTTGAAGACCCCACAAAAAATAATAATTTAAACTGCAACTCCAAAATATATAGGTATCAGCCTAGACAGCAGTGTGCATGTATACAATTGCAGCCATGTACACCCAGACAACACCAGGTACCTCAGGTAGTGTGTGTGTGTGTGTGTATATATATATATATATATATATATATATATAGAGAGAGAGAGAGAGAGGTACACTATTTACATTGCTCAGACTATCATCCTCATCTTTGTTGCCATATTTATCATTTCAGCCATTGTACACTCCAGCCTTCTTCAGATGGTTGGAATGTTGAACTGAACCCTTTATTTCGTTTGCTTGGGTAGATTGTTCTAGTTCCACATGCCATGTTTAATGGATGTCAGTTATCAGTAAGTTAATTCCTTAATTCCTCTCCAAGTTCCTCTCCTCCTCTGTTAATTCCTCTCTTCAAGTTCTCCACCGCCTTAACCAGGTATTGAACTCACATTCTTTGGGTCCTGTCACTGGATCTAACTTATCCAATGTGCCATGTGTCCTCAAGGACACATGGCACAGTGGATATAGGCATTAACTTAAATTAACAGGCGATAAATTAACAGGAGATAATTGACATCCATTAAACATGGCACATGGAGCTAGAACAGTCTACCCCAGTGAGTGAAAAAAAGGGTTCAGTTTGACATTCCAACCACCTAAAGAAGGCCGGAGCATACAACGGGCGAAACGTTGTACTAAATATGATGATAAAGATGAGGACAATAGCCCGACTAATGTAAATAATGTAGTTTTGACCTGATTTGGTAAATTTGAAACATGTGTACAATTTCATAAAACCAATCAAGAAATGTGGATGTGCTTAAATTGCACACACACACATCTTCTGTTATTGTAGATATAGGTATACTTGGTTGTCTAGCATTCCAGCAAGTTCTGTAGTGGTGAAATATCCGCAGACTATGAATTAAGATTTTTTTTTCAGTTCACCTGAAGAAGGCCGAAGCGTACAACGGCTGAAACGTGATAAATATGGCAACAAAGATGAGGATGATAGTCCGAGTAATGTAAATATTGTACATAATACCTCATTTCAGAAATATAGACAGATATAGTGAGATGAATGTTTTTAGTTGAATATAGAATCTAAACAAAAATGAAGGAATTAGACAAAGTGGAAAACTTTTTTATTTACAATATATTTCACCTTCATTAGGTTGGTGTCTTAAGATCAAAATGGCAGACAAATCTTTGTGTGTGATTTTTTTTTTTTTAATATATTAAAACTATTTGCTAGGTTGGTATCTTCTGGTTGGAATGAAAGAAGAAAACTGTATTTTTTGGCAGATTAAAGTTGACTGTTTGCTAGTGCATATAAATAGTGTAAATTCAATCACGAGGTCAGGCAGTGTGTATTTGTTTATGATAACAACAACAAAGATGAGGACAATAATCCAAATAAAAATAGCATAAATAATGATAACTCTTCATCACAGAAATCAGACAAAAATTAAAATTGTTTAAGGGATTATTTTATTTTTATCCCATGACCCATAAGATCATAGGGATAAAAAATGCATACTGCAAAAAATGTATACTATTATTTTTTTCTACTCTGGCTGCGTAGTGCAGCCAGAGTAGAAGTGGTGTTTCTTGGACAAGACAGCCTGATGGAGCCCAACCCTCTGTAGGCCGGTTTTGAATTCATAGTTTTTCCTTCTACTTGACTAAATAGAACCCAAAACAGGGCAGTACCATTTTCTTCTTAGAGATGTAGCCAATAAGATATATCACTGATCACTGCAAATGCAATAGTGGTACTATGCAGTCTGCAATCGGTAGAGAAAGTAACTAAGGTCTGCTTGGTTCTCACAGAGATTGGTAGATTTAATAAAAAAAAATCACATAGTTTTGCTCTTTCTGATGCCAAACTTGCAAACAGACATTAACAGTGACATATCCATAAAAAATAAAATATAGTGTCAAAAATAATTATAATAATTATAATTATCATTAATTCACTTATTTTAAAATAATGAGAGTCGGAACCAATTTTCCCCACTACAGACACAAGCGGCCGACATCCTCATTATTGGACAAGCAGTTCACACAGACAGGTCATTAACACATACATCAATGAAAATTTCCTCTCCTTTTCAGCTCATCATAATAAATCTATCTTTTAGCACTAAACAAAAATTCAATGTAAGAAAACCTCAGGCACTTCTTGTATTTTTCTGACTAAAATCTCTGGACACTCATTAAACACATCTATTAAAAAAACATACAAGAAAGAATATACATTTTGCTTATTCTTTATCTTATCATTCTATCAATATCTCTTATCTCTTGTGTCTCTAACACCACATAACAACTAGATAATAAATAATATAGGTTTTTTTTTTTTTCAAGTCTTGTTATTTCTAATTTTTTATGTGTATTTTTGTGTATATAAATGTTAGGGGATTTATAATTATTTACTTATAAGTAATAAGGGAGGCACAGTGGAGCAGTGGTGTAGCTAGAGTAAACGTCACCCGGGGCGGTCCGCTCAAATGTCACCCCAATGACCCCGATTCACCCTATGCTGAATGGTTAGCTGTAGCTAAATTTTCATACATGCTCTACCTCTACTTTACTCTACTGACCGGTACATTACTGTTTACATGTATGATCCAAGACAAAATCCAATACCACAAAATAATCAGTTCAAATCAAAAGCTGAAAACATTGCTATTTTTCCTACTCACAAATTTCCTGACAATTTATTAGAAAATTTCTGATTGGAGGGGAGGGGGGCAAAAGGGGGGGGTCATAAATTATTTCGGTGGGGGGTGTCATATGCCAGCCTGCGAAACCCTGTGTCTCCACCACTGTTTTCAGACTATTTTTGGCACCTTAGCCTGGTTGAAAAATTTTGTTGGGGGTAACATTGTGTCACCCCTCTTGTGCTGGCGGTCTGCCCCCTCGCCTCCCCTTAGCTACGCCACTGCAGTGGAGTAATAAATAGCAGCTCGGATTGAGGAAATGGAGAGCCAAGTTCGAATTCCACTTGGATCCATCACATTCACATAGATGCTAATACCCTTGGGAAAGGTATAAATCCTCTTCTCTCCCCAGCTATGGGTAAATAGCAGGACAGGATGGGTTATATAAACACAACATTCTACACGTACGCACACATGCACACACATATATTATGAAAAAATACTTGAACCAATGAAAAGTGCATATATATAAAAAGAAAAATTGAGAAGCGTAAGCAGTCAATTGCTGATACTTTCTGACGAGTGGACGTAACGATTCCTGGAGGGTCCATCTGCAAAACTCTGGAGTCGGGATGCTGAAAGTAAAATTAATGGTTGTGCTAGGGTTTCAGATTGAGTGCTTCTTTTCCAAAAAAATAAATGATTTCCAATTAGTATAGCACGGCAGACTGGGTTCTATAGCCTTGGGTGGCAAACAGTTTAGGAGAAGGAAACTCTGAATTCAAAACTGGCATGGAGAGGGTTGGGCTTCATCAGGCTATCTTGCCCAAGAAACAACACTTCATTGCAGCTGCAGTACACATTGTGCCCCTATGACCCCAATGGGTTATGGGATTCATGATCGATTGATTAAGCATGGGACAATAAATTTCTAGAATTTCTAAGAAGAATTAAATAACTTACAATGGCTTGAAAGAGCTTTCTGCTCTTTTTCTTTGTTAAAATAGAAATCATTTGGAAAATTTTAATTATTATTTACTTTTGTGATATTTTGATTTGTGCTGTGTTTGTAAAAGAGTTCTTTGGAAAACGTTGACTTGTTTTCAATGGTGATTGTAGCAGACAGCAATCTTATCCTTTCTTGCCATTTTTTTTTTAACTTTCCGAATTGTTTACATCAAAAGGTTTTGTGTCAAAGTCTGTTACTGTTCTATTCTGCTTGAAGATGGCAGACAACTGCCTGGAGAGAACCAGGAGGAAAAAATTGTTGAAAATGGGAAAAAATTTTGATGGGAGAGAAAAAAAATGAAGGTGTAACAAAAATAAAAAAAACAAACGAAAGTGAGCAAAAAATATGAAATGATTGAAAGTACAAAATAAGGTAAAAAAAAAAACAAAAAAATCTTAGAGATGGAAACAAAGAAAAAAGAAAAGTTGGATAAAGAGTCCAAAAAAAATGAGAGAAAGAAGATGGGGGAAAAGAAGGATAAGAAAAGATAGGAGAAAGAGAATAAAAGAAAAAGGGAAGAAAAGATGAGAAAAAGAAAGAGGGTGGGGGGTAATAAGAAAGAGGGTGAGGGGTAATAAGAAAGAGGGTGAGGGGTAATAAGAAAGAGGGTTAGGGGTAATAAGAAAGAGAGGAAGTAAAAGAAAAGACAGGAGAATAAAATAAAAAAAGAATGAAAAGATAAGAGAAAGAAAGAAGGTGAGGGAGGAAAAGAAGATAGAGAGGGAGGAAAAGAAGATAGAGAGAGAGGAAAAGAAGAGGCAGGAGAAAGAGAAAAAAGGAAGAAACAATGAGAGAATGAAAACAGGTAGGTGGGTAAAGAAAGTAGATAGTGGAGGAAAAGAAGATAGGGAAGAAAAGAAAAGGTGGGAGAAAGAGAAGAAAAAGGGGAAGAAATGATGAGAGAATGAAAATGGGTAGGTGGAAAAGAAAGTACAAAGTGGAGGAAAAGAAGATAGAGAGGGAGGAAAGAAAAGATAGGAGAAAGAGAAAAAAGAAAAAGGTAAAAAAGAATGAGAGAAAGATGAAGGGAAAAGAAGACAGAGAGTGGGGAAAAGAAAAGGCAGGAGAAAGAGAATAAAAGAAAAAAGAAGAAGGAAAGAAAAGGTGAGTGAAATAAAGAGGGTGAAGGAAAAAAAGAAAAGAAGAAAAGGAGAAAGAGAATAAAAAAGGAAAAGAATAAAAGTGAAGAAAAGGTGAGAAAGAAAGAGGGTGAATGAAAAAAAAAGAAGAAAAGAGGAAGGAAAAAGTAAAGAAAGGAGAAAAGAGAAGAAAAAAGATGGAAAGAAAGAGAAGACAAAAAGAGTAAAAAAAGAGGAAAGAGAAGCAAAAGATCGGAGAAAGAGAAGCAAAAGATGGGAGAAAGAGAAGCAAAAGATGGGAGAAAGAGAAGCAAAAGATGGGAGAAAGAGAAGGAAAAGATGGGAGAAAGAGAAGGAAAAGATGGGAGAAAGAGAAGAAATGTTGGGAAGAAGAGAATGAGAAAACATGGCGATAAAGAAAAGGAATGGTTAAAAAACGATTCATTCTAGGAACGAAAGTTTTGGAGAAACTGTATTGCAGAAATCAATCACACACACACATATGTATATGTGAGTTATGTATATGTGTTCAATGACAGACGCGAGTGCAAATTCTGATTGAGGCAGATCTTGTATATTCCATACAAACAAATTCTCTTTCGACAGACATGAATCCTTCTCCTACTTTAATACCTGGACAGACTGGGCTCTATGCTCATTGGCCAACAAGCAGATAGACAATTCTGTTTCCAAAAGAGTTATGTGGAACCTCTTATGCAGCTAAGTGGTAAACTTAACCTCCTTTCTGGCATATTGGGCAACCAAAATTTTGGCCTGTTGTGATCTTTTGTCGTACTAATAGGGAACGAAACACCTTGGTAAATGTTTGAGTGGAATCATTTCTGTAATATTGATCCTTAAAATAAAATCTTAATTCATAGTCTGCGGATATTTCACTGCTGCTGAAATGCTAGACAACCAAGTATATCTATATCTACAATAACAGAAGATGTCTGTGTGTGTGTGTGTGTGTGTGTGTGTGTGTGTGAGCGCAATTTTTGCACATCCACATTTCTCGATTGGTTTTATGAAATTGTACACACATTTCAAATTTACCAAGTCAAAACTACATTATTTACATTATTCGAACTATTGTCCTCATCTTTGTCATCATATTTATTACAACGTTTTGTGTATGCTCACGGCCTTCTTCAGGTGTTTGGAATAATAGAACTGAACCCTTTATTTTTTCACTGGGATAGACTGTTTTAGTTCAATGTGCCATGTCTAATGGATGTCAGTTATCTCCTGTTAATTCCCAGTGCCATAACCGGGTATTGAAATCACATTCTTTGGGTCCTGTCACTGGACCTAACTAACACCCTTATCCACTGTGCTATTTGTCCTCAAGGGCAGTGGATAAAGGCGTTGGTTAGATCAGTGACAGGACCCAAAGAGTGTGAGTTCAATACCCAGTTAGGGCAGTGGAGAACTTTCAGAGGGAAATTAACAGGAGATAACTGATAACTGATATCCATTAAACATGGCACGTGGAACTAGAAAAGTCTACCCCAGTGAGTGAAATAAAGGGTTCAGTTCGACATTCCAACCCCCTGAAGAAGGCTGGAGTATACAACTGCCAAAACGTTGTAATAAATATGGCGACAAAGATCAGGACAATAGTCTGGATAACGTAAATAGTGTACATAATACCTCATCTCAGAAATATAGACAAATACAGAAATGGCAAAATGTTGTAATAAATATAGTGACAATGATGAGGACAATAATCCGAATAATGTAAATAATGTACATAATACCTCATGTCAGAAATATAGACAGATACTGAAGGACCGAAATGTAATAAATATGGCGACAAAGATGAGAACAATAGTTCAAATAATGTGAATAGTGTACATTATACCTCATGTCAGAAATATAGACAGATAAGTCAAGACTAATTTTTCAGTCTACAGGTCCCCTGGGGTTGGTAGAAAAATCAATAAAATTTAAGGTGGGTATGACTTTTTGCAAAAAGCAATGCAAAATTACATGTGAACAAAATTTTTAATCGATGAGCTGATGTTCTTTGCACTTATGCAAAACATAGCTTATGTTACGAGGTTTATGTAGAGTGCTTGATAGTTTTCCTGCGACATTGGCTTCACACAAAAAAAATTGCAAATTCTGTGAAAAAATTGGGTTTTTTGTATTACTTAAAATAAAAACTTGTATAACTTCATTTTTTTTTATCCAATTTTCTTCAAACATGCCAGCAAAAAATTTGCTATCATGCAAGAGATAAGATAGTGGGGTTTTAGTCCTGCTCCCTACCTTGTATATAATGAAAAACCATGAAAAACTGTTCAAAAAGCCTGTTTTCTGGCCATAACTGCCTGATTTCTCATCTAACACTTTCCAAATCTGCCATGTAAATTACATATGACACACAAATTGTCTTGTATGAAAGTTTGGTTTAGATTATTTCAGTTAAGTGGATGAAATCTGTGGTAAACTAGTTCCAAAATCGGCTTTTGCCATTTAGCCAATAGTTTCTTCATACGATTCTTCATATATTCTCAAAGAACCTCTTATTAACATCAGCTTTACAGTAAACGTGCAAAGAAGTATGGGGGTGTTCATGTGTTTGAACTTGCATTTGAATCAAGCTCTGATGCTTCATTCCTGTTTTTGTTTGATTATTTGATTTGTGAATAATGCCATGATATTTGAAAGTATTACAGACAAAGGAAATTTACTGAATATCTAAAACATTGCATGTTGGAATTTGAGAGAAAAAAAAACATAAAAAGACACACACTTGAATTCCAATCATGCCCAATACATGAAGCTCAGAGTAAACACTCCTACTAGTACACAAAAAAAAACAAAAAACATCTTAAACAGTCAAACATGAAGAAAACTGAAAAACAATATCCCTAGATAAAGAAGTGGCAGAAAGTGCTTGGTACAATAGACAATACGAATGATTTTTGCACTCCCTTACTCCCACCAAATGGGAAAAAACTTAAGAATTCTGAAAAAACTAAATAAAAAATTAAGTAAAATTTCTTGTCATATTCAAGGAAACATCTTTAAAACAAAGGTTACTGCCCAAATATATATACATATTTAGCTATTTATTATTTTAAAATGTTATTACCCCAAGTGAGGCTGTCCTAATCAACAAGAAAGGTGATAAAGCAGACCTCTGAAACTGCCATTTGATCAGCCTCCTACCAACCATTTGCAAACTGTTTTCATACATCCTACTACAAGAGCACGGGTGGGATTCAGATCAGGATTCTTGAAAATAGAAAACACTCCAGGTAGTTAGTCAACTACAAGAGAAGGCAAACTCATAAAAATTCCCAAGTTGCTTTACCTTTGTTGATTATGAAAAGTTATTTGACTCCATCGAGTTCACCCCACTCTATTCATCGCACTGGAGAATCAAGAAATGAACTCTGCTTAGATCAAACTTCTGACATTATTTACATTATTCCGACTGTTATCCTCATCTTCATTGCCATATTCACGTTTCAGCTGTTGTACACTTTGGCCTTCTTCAGGTGATTGGAATATCTGTCTGTATCTCCGAAATGTGGTATTAAGATTACTTTCATTATTTACATTATTCGGACTGTTATCCTCATCTTCATTGCCATATTCACAACGTTTCAGCTGTTGTACACTTTGGCCTTCTTCAGGTGATTGGAATATCTGTCTGTATCTCTGAGATGTGGTATTAGGATTACTTTCATTATTTACATTATTCGGAATGTTATCCTCATCTTCACTGCCATATTTGCAACATTTTGGCCATTGTATGCTCAGGCCTTCTTCAGGTGATTGGAATTTTGAATCAAACCCTTTATTTCATCCACTGTGGTAGATTGTTCTAGTTCTACGTGCCATGCCTCTTCCGGATGTCTTAGTTATTTCCATTTAAATCAATTCTCCGAGTTTGGTTCACCACTGCTGTGGCCTGGTACTGAACTCACAAATGTTTTGGGTCTAGTCACTGGATCTAACCAACATCTTTATCCACTAGGCCATGTGTTCTTGAGGAGCCTGGTGGAGGAAATAAAGGATTCAGTTTGAAATTCTAATCACCTGAAGAAGGCTAGAGCATACAACAGGTAAAATGTTGTGAATATGGCAATGAGGATGAGGATAACAGTCCAAATAATGTAAATAATGCAAGTAATTATAATACCTCATCTCAGAGATATAGCGGCTGAAACATTGTGAATATGGCAATGAAGATGAAGACAGTCTGAATAATGTAAGTAATCATAATACCTCATCTCAGAGATATAAACAGATATCAAACTACTGATTCACTCACAGATTACACGAAAACAGCCAGTTAGAAAGAGGAGCAAGATGAGAAGACAACATGTCCCTGAGAATAGTTACACCTTGTTTACAAGACACCATCATCAACAAAGTCAACTAGGAGAACAAGGGTATCAACATAAATGGTGAACAACTACGCCACTTAGATTTTGTAGACGATGTCATTCTAATCGCCCATACACCAAAAGAATTAGAGGAGATGCTCAATGCTATCCACACTGTGAACCAACCAGTAGGCTTTAACATGCATCTTCATAAAAACCAAGATCATGTTTAATATCTGCGATAATCCATCATCAATTATTGTAGATGGAAAGACCAGCGAGGAAAGAGAGAGTTATGTGTATCTTGGCAAGAAGATTGCAAGAGATATTGCCCTACTTCTGAGGCCAAACTAATGATTGTGCTTCGCTGGGTGGCTTTTGAAAAAGTTTATAGCATAATGAAAAGTCCTAAGTTAACAATCGGAATGAAAAGAAAGTTGTTTGATTTATGGAAGTGAGAGAAATGCAAAATGAAGAGAATCAAGCTCGTCATCACCTTATGTGACAGGAAGAGCAACACTTGAATTTGACAGCAGAATGGAATGAAGGGCGTAATCAAGACTATCAAGAATGGCAAACATAGATGGGGTGGCTATGTCTCTCTTCTCAGCAACAACAAGTGAACTTCTAGAGTGACAGATTGGACACTACAGATATGCAAAAGAACTAGAAGATGGTCAATTATCATGCACTTTCGTCGACACAGATGCATTGTCATTGATAATTAGCACTTTTCATTTTTACATATACCAAACTTCAGATTATATATATATATATATATATATATATATATATATAAGCATTTTTGGGTTGGTCTAGGAAATCTGGGCTTCGAGCACTTTACTGAGTATGTAAGTTTGCCTTTAGTTCATTTTTCTCTTCCTTTTTTCAGTATTGTCATTTTATTCAAGTCTGTATCTGGATAAGGGTTAAGGGTTTTGCATGTTATCTATTGGTTCCATGAACACTTTTTTTTTTTCTTTAATATATATATATATATATATATATATATATATATATATGGGGGTGATGATTAAATTGAAACCATTTTATATTTTTAAT